ATCATCATCATCATCATCGGTACCACTTCTACCAGTTTTCTTCATCTTGCTCCTCGTCGTCATCATGTTCGTTGGAGTCAACATCGCTTTTGTTGATGATGACGTAATCGTCATCATTGGCATCAGAGTAGTCATCATTATCATTATCATCATCATTGTTATTATTATTATTATCATCATCATTATTATTATTTTGAATTTTATTTTGTCGATTATCATCATCATCATTATTATTATTATCATTATCATCATTATTAACTTTATTATCATTTTCGTCGCCATGATTGGCATCAGCATCATCTTCATTAACCTCAATACCATCACAAGGGCCAGGGTTTTCAAGACCGATAAAATTAACGCGAGGACTAACTAAATGTAACGTGTCTACTTTACGATCCTCACTTCTACTTTTCTCATCATCATCACCGCTATCATCACCACCATCGCCATCACCATCATCACCACCACCATCACCACCACCACCACCATCATCATCATCATAATCATCTTTTGAAACATTCTTTATATAATTTTCTTTACCATCGTCTTCATTGGCCTTACCATTACTATTATCATGATCATCATCGTCGTCGTCATCATTGCCGTTTTTGTTATCACCATCGTTGTCATCATCATCATCATCATCATCATCATCATCATCATCATCATCATCATCATCATCATTTTCATTATTATTATTACTATTATTATTACTATCATTGTTGCCAATTTTATCCTCGCCATCATCATCATCATCACCATCGTTGTTGTTGTTATTATTATTATTATTATTGTTATCATCTTTATCATCATCATCATTATCATCATCATTATTGTTGTTGTTGATTTGATCGCCTGTATTTCTATCATCACCATCATCACTTTCTTTTGGATTTTTACTTAAATTAACTTTTGTCTCTTCATCGTCATCAGCATCATCACCATCGTAATTGTTGTTGTCATCATTATGATTGCTATCATTATCATCACCATCATCCTCCTCATCATCATCATTACCATGTTTGATATTTTCATTATCATCATCATCATCATCATCATCACCGTCATCATCGTCATCAGGGGCACCACTTCCGTCATGAATGCCAACATGAAAAATATTTTTACGTTTGGACAGTTTATGACAGCTGTCATCATCATCAGCATCATTCTCCTCTTTCTCATCATCATCTCCATCATCATCATCATCATCATCATCCTCGTTATCAGCATTTTCCTTATCTTTTTCATCATCATCATCATCATTCTTTATACGAAGAAAGGCAGAGACAATATCTTTCTTACTATCATCATAATTAACATCATCATCATCATTGTTGCCATCATCATCATCATCATTATCATTGTCACCACCACCACCACCACCACCACCATCATCATCATTATCATTATCACCCTTGTTTACAATTCTATAAATAGATCTCCTGGAAAATTTTTCAATCTTATCTCCACCGCCGGCGTGTTTGTGAAATCCTTCATAAATCTCTTCCGTCAGTATCTTCCCATTATCCGGAATAAAATTATTATTATCATTATTAAAATTAATATTATTATTATTATTTTTTTTGGTAGCAGTAGTAGTACTAGTAGTAGTAGAAGTAGCGGCAGTATAAGCATTAGCAGTATACAAATTATTAGAAGCAGTTGAAAAAGTAGTAGTAGTAGTAGTAGTAGTAGCTACATTAGCAATTGTAGTAGTAGTAGTAGCAGCAGCAGTAGTAGTAGCAGCAATGGTAGTAAAAGTAGTAGTATTGGTAGTAAGAGTGGAGGAAGTAAAAGTATTAGTAACAGTTGTAAGACATGAGTTGAATGCCATAACGCTGATTGGATATTCATTATTGTCTTTGACGTCACTGAAGTTTTTGTTGTTGTTGATGTTGTTAATGTTGTTGTTAATGTTGTTGTTGATGTTGTTGTTGATGTTGTTGTTGATGTTTTTGTTGACGCTGTTGATGTCTTTGTGCTGACTGGGTTTGTTTTTGCTGTTTTTGTTAACGTTTGTGATGTCATAGTTGATGTTTTTGATGTTATTGATGCTTCTATTGATGTTTTTGTCCTTGCTTTTATTGTCGTTGTAGTTATTGTCACAAGTTTTTGCATTAGAACTCGCGTTACCATCACAACTCTCAACATTATCATTACCTATATAACTTAGTACACTACTGCAGCGTTCAAGAGAACTAGTTCTATCGAATTCTTTTTTACCAATCCTACCTACAGCACTGTTACCATTTCCGGTTTCGTGAACCATCAATTCTGATGACGTCATCTGGCTTACGTCACTGCTTACGTCAGTGATGGGGTTCGCCGATCTACTATTGTCATCGTTGGGCTTACTATTGTGCTTATTATTGTTATCACCGTTGTTGCTGTTGTTATTTTTATTATTGTTATTACTCTTATTGTTGTTATTATTATTATTATTAAGGTTATTGTTGTTGTTGTTATTATTTTCCAAGCGAACTTCCATGACATCACGAGACCCATCATTAAAATGACAACCAGCGTAATACGCTTTGACATCGTCGTCACCAACCTTCGAATTATTATTATTATTATTGTTGTTGTTGTTGTTGTTACTGTTATTATTACTGTTGTTATTATTGTTATTTTCATCGTCGTCGTCATCATTTTCGTCATCCTCCTTTTTATAGCCACAGATGAGGTTGCAAGCAACTGATGTATTCATGGTCACAACTTTATAATTAATATTTTTGTTATTATTATTATTATTATTATTATCATCATCATCATCATCATCATTATATTTAAAGATATCATCTTCAATATCTCTTCTAGCGGATGATACTATATCAGGAGTATCAACAATGTTATCTGTCAAAGTACAGTGGGTATTGTTATAATTAGCTGCAGCGCATCCAGTAGCGTCGTCCGCTGCAGTACAGTAAGTAACGCTGCTGCTAGCCGAGACGCGAGATGCTCTGGAGAGGTTGTGGTGACTTCTAAAAGATGAGATGTAGATTGATGGATTTTCCCGCCAAGAGTTTTCAACTCGGCGGCTGCCATGGTTGATGACGTTGTTGTTGCTATGACGACGCGGTTTGTCGTTGATGTTGTTGTTGTTGCTGGTGGTGGTGTAGTTGTTATTGTAGTGGCCGAAGTTGTTTTGGGGTTTTTTGTTGTATTTCATCGGTCTATAATTTTTGCTGTTGTTGTTGTTGGAGGTGTTGTCATTAAAAGAAGTCTTGTCGTCAGTCTTGTTATTGAAATTAATGTAAGCGCAATTGATGATTTCATCAATCTTTTGGCTGTTGCCATCCAGAACGTGACTTGAAACATTAACACTTTCGTCGTTATTGAGATAATTATCGTTTGAGATGTTGTTGTTAGTATTAGCTGGTTGATGACAACAATTGATGTGATTACTGCTGTTAATGTTATCTGCATTGTTGTAATTGTTGCTACCTAAAATATCACTGCCACCATTATTTTCATTACGCCTTTCTACTTTCGTTTCCAAATTTTCGACAGCAGACACCAAGCAGTGGGCACAATCGTGTGGCTGAATCTTACAGCCAAGGGCCCCCTTCTTCTTTCTCCGCCCCCTCCCCATCATCATCAACATCGTCGTAGTCTTCTTCTTCACCATCACCATCGTTTCAGATTCACCATCGGCGTAATTTTTTTCATCAATTTTGATTTTGTAATTAGTGTTGTTATTAATATCAATAGCGCTGTCCCGGTTGCGAATTTTTTTAAGCCCACTTTCAGTACTCCAAGCCGAGTTAACAGTCTTGTGGTAGGAGCAGCCAGTGGCAGCATCAACCACAATCATCCTGCCACCACGAGCCACACAATAATGGCTAGCCACCTTGTGGTTGCGACTGCTGCGATCGCCGCTACAACTTTTTCCGGCTCCCTTTTTACCGACTCTGACTACAGAAGTGTGACCGGATTTATTAACGAGTAGTGTTGTGATGCCGGATGACCGATCAGTTTTGCTGTTGTTGTTGTGGTTAGTTATAAAACTGTGTTTGTTGTTGTTGTTGTTTGTGCAGTTGAGAGTTTTGTTTCGAAATCTGGACCACATCTTCTTTCCGTACTTGATAGGGAAGTAGATTTTTGAGAGGTAGTGGTAGCGAAGCGTTGTGATGGCCGACATCAAGTCGCAGAAGCCACCGTTTGTGATGGGAGCCACACGGTAGGTCACGCATAACGTCATGGTGGCTGCTGATTGGTTGGCTAGTCGATTGGTTAGTTGACTGATTGGTTGGCTGGTTGATTGGTTGACTGGTTTACTGGTTTATTGATTGGTAGTTCAAACGGATCGATTTTCCAATTGTACTTTGAAAAGCGTTCGATCTATTGAACGAGAGATTGATTGAAGAGATGCAGTAATAACTGAAGCACTGAAAAAATTAGAATACTTTAAATTTGATTTAAGGCAACAAAAATTGCATTACATATATAACTTTAAAAAAACTTAAATGTTCTTTTTGTAATAATACTTTTAATTGTAATAAGGAACTAAAACAGCAAAAACTTCGTAAATAGTAATTAATAAATTGATAACTATACTTGTTAAATAAAAAGAATTATTAAATATTAATATTAAATATAACGTTTGCTGAAGAATTCAAATATCTCGAACCCTTCATAGCATCAACCCACGTTGAAAATCGAATCGCTTTGCCCTGGGCAGCATTCAACATCCAATATATAATACTAATACTAAATGTTCTACGGCTACTGTAGCTGCTGCTGCTATTATTACTACTGTTACTACCAAGAACGTCAACCCTCTTGAAGGTTAGAGGCCAAACTACCCCTTGAATCAATTTTCTATTTTTCAGTTGATTTTGAAATTTATCAATATATAAAAATAATAAATGAATGCATGAAAAGGACAATGAGCGTTCTATACAAGTATTGACAACGTCTCAAAATGGTTTCAACCATTGTACTTTGAAGTGAAATCTACCCCATAACTTTTTTTTTGTGGGGGGAGGGGGCAATTGCTTCCTCCCCTCTTGTGGATGTCCCTGGCTACTGCTACACCTCTCCCTAGTTATTTTATTTTTATTGTTACTAACATGGTTTAATTATCGTTTTGTGGTTATTAATCTTGCCAGTATTATTTAACGTTACTGGTGCTAAAGTTACTGCGTTATATTACTAAGTCAATAATTATGTTAATAATTAATAATAATATTTTTATTATTATTATAATAATTATTATTAATATGCAATGTAATTATTAAAATATTAAATAAAAACAATTTCTCACCTCTGCCTAAGATGAAAAAAAATTAATTAAATTGAAAAAAATAGTTGGGAGGATTTTTTAGGAGTCTTTTTTTAAAACGACAGCCGAAATTTATTTCTATTTTTTTTATTTTACTGGAGTTTTATCCAATTAAAACGTCAGAGATCAGAGGGAAGGGATCACGTGATGGAGAATTGCATTGTGGTGAGTGATCAAAAGCATGCAGACTGTCACTTTATACAAACGTTTATATATATATATATATATATATATATATAAAATGTATAATATACGTACGTACATACATACATACATACATACATACATACATACATACATACATACATACATACATACATACATACATACATACATACATACATACATACATACATACATACATACATACATACATACATACATGCATTCATACCTACATACATAATAACGTACGTACATACATACATACACACATACATACATACATACACAAATATGCAAACATACAAACATGCATGAATGAACACTTAATAATAAAAAATTATAAACAAAACATATATACAAAAATTCTCAGCATCTAAACTTTTGTATGTGTAATACATTTTTCCATGTTGTATATTAAATTCCATAGATGGAATGTTTATATTAGGGGATATATGGGTATATCTGTACATTGCCAATATATGATAATATCTTCTCTCCATTTCATCATTTTCTTCATCATCATCATCATCGTTATCGTCGTCATCATCTTCGTCGTCAACATCGCCATCATCCGCATGTCTTATTGGTTGGTGCAAGGAAGCTGTACGTATATAAATGTTGGTGTACGCAATTGCTGTACAACTGCTGTACAACTGCATACGTGCGTATTTATGTATGCATGTTTGTTTGTATGTATGTATGTATGTATGTATGTATGTATGTATGTATGTATGTATGTATGTATGTATGTATGTATGTATGTATGTATGTATGTATGTATGTATGTATGTATGTATGTATGTATGTATGTATATATGTATGCATGTATTTTTTTTCATTTCATTTCATTCATTTATGTATGTATGTATGTATGTATGTCTGTCTGTATGTATGTATGTCTGTATGTATGTGTTTATGTATGAATATATGTATATATGTATGTATGCAAGCATTCATGTGCGCATTTTATGAACGCTCATCTGATGTGTATCAGCGTGTGTATTTTTCATGCGTTTGTTTTGTATGTTTGTTTGTTTTTAAACACATGCGCATTCGTTTGCATGTGTGTACGTATGTGTGTGTGCATGTATGTTTAGACAAATGTTGCTATGATAAACCAGCACAAGTGTTCTTGAGCTACTATCCAAAGCCATTTTGTGATACTGTTGGTATAGATGATGACATTGTATATCCAGTAATAATGACATTTCTGCAAGTAGATACACAAAATACATAGATTACAACAAAACACATTTAACCATTTTTGAACACTCCGTGAACACACGTTGTTCGTGTGTATCATCTTTATCTTTATGGTCGTCATCATCATGATGAACGTTCATAAGCATCCGTCTTGGATTGGCTGACCATGGTGTTCGATTCATTCAATTGTCTCTGAACCGTCTTTGATTACAGGCACAGTAATTTTATGTCTTTATTGTTTTTATTCCATTATTCCAACATTTTAACATAATTAGATGACGCTTCTTTTTCCTAGTAAAACATTGGTTTGGACTCTCTTGGCTTTGCAATAACAAAAGTTCCACATTTCTTCACGCCAACATTTTCGTCGTTCCTTTCAAGTTGACCGAACTATTTCAATTTCATTTCACAACCGCAAATTTAATTATCACCATCTATTTTTTAAAATTTTCATTACCGATAACATATAATTGTCTGGAAGGTTTCGTTATTTGAACATTACTATTTCTCTCTTTTGTAGTCTTTTCAAACCTTGATCTATTTGTCCTGTTCTTAGAGAATTGTTTAAAACTGTTTCTTCATTTTCATCTGCTCCATTGGTATATCGCCAAAATTGCAAAAGTTCCAAACTATTTCAAGACTCATATTTCCCTTCACCCTAGACGCCAAATTTTACTTTGCGGATCTGACCATCTGTCCTCATTCGCACCAAACTTTTACAAAAGTTTTCTGCACGTTTATACCCCCAACGGATGGCAACATGGCATTGAGTTTTGGCTGTCCCTTATTCACATATTGCTCGTAAAAACATTTTTACCTTTTAAATCCTCACCACACGGTATAACTTTTGTTTATCCAAAAGTTGGTAGTAGGATGTTTTCTGAATGACTGCCTTCCACTTCAAAAGCTTTTTATATTTTTTTTTTCATTTTTCTCCGTTAGTACCAGGTCATACAGAATTTTTCATAGTAGGGTGGTACACCTTTGACCACTCTCTCTCTCTCTCTCTCTCTCTCTCTCTCTCTCTCTCTCTCTCTCTCTCTCTCTCTCTCTTTCTCTATCCATACGTGCGCACACGCATACAAATAAACACACACACACACACGTACATACTTACAAATACACACACAAACACTGGTAAAATGAAGCTAATTATAAGTTATATATATATATATATATATATATATATATATATATATATATATATATATATATATATATATATACATATATAAATACACGAGAAGAATTTCCAGCAATTAAACTAACAATAGCAAAGATTAACTCTAAATATAAACAGAACAGATAAATCAGCTCTGATTAAAATAAGAACAAAGTAAATCAACGAATCAAAAACAAAAACAAAACTTCGATACAAATAAACCACAAATGTATGAAAACAAGCATACAAACAAGTATAAAACAAACAAGCATCAAACATACAAACATCAAACATGAAACTTGCTAACCAGCAATACACGCCATACAAACAAATCAAAATACAAACAACAACAAACATGCCAACAAACTCGCAAACCAGCAACAAAGATACAAACAACCATAAACGAATCGCGGGCATGATATTAAGTCTGAATAAAGATTTATTAAACCTTCATCCAACAAGGACCATAGATATTGTAGCTGGCAAACAAAGACATAAAACTAATAACAGCATTCATAAACACAAACATAGAACTAAAAATATGCTAACAATACTCATAAATAAAAATATAGAACCAATTACAACTGAAAAATATTCTTGAACAAAAACATAAAACTAATAACATTCGAACATTATTTGTAGAAACACAAACATAAAAAATAGCTAGCCTGTGAACAAAGAACTAATAAATTGTAATCAATGATTGTAAACACAAACGCAGAATACACAAACACAAAACACAAACATAAAACACAAACATAATCACAAACACACACACACACACACACACCACACACACACACACACACATACACAACACACACACACGCGACACACACATACACACAACGCACACATTTATTTGTATTTTCATTCATCTGTTCACTTATTCGTTTATCTACTTATTTCCATTTATTTATTTTTCATTGATTCCTTTCCTTTTAAAAGAATGGATTTATATGCAGAGAGAATGGAAAAATATCATTCATTTTAAAGAGAAAGAAAGAAAGAGAAAGATAGATAGATAAATAAAGAGACAGACAGACAGACAGACAGATATATATATATATATATATATATAGAGAGAGAGAGAGAGAGAGAGAGTAATAAAAAAGATAGGTTCCATGTAAAGAAAGTTTTATTGTGTCGAATCTAGAGATGATGGTCGCTTATGTGGAACGATAAAACGAAATGATGTGGTCACTTGAAAATGAATTAAAAAGAACGAATGAACGGAATTAATAAATTTGGTCATTTGTGGAGGAGTAATAAATTAAAAAACTAGATAATTGAATAATTAAATAAATTAATATAAAAAAATAAATAA